ATCTCAGATTGAGTGGATGAGTGATAAACTAATGAAGTCGTTTGAAGGAGCACGAAACAATCCATTTCAATTTAAGTTTATTCAGCTGTGTCACACATATGCTGACCTCTCTAAACTACCAAGTCCCAAAGTGGTATTAGCAAGTACGCCTGATATGGAAAGCGGATTTTCTCGAGAACTTTTGTTACAGTGGGCGGAGAACTCGAATAACAGTATCATAATTACTTCAAGGTAACAAATTACATTTGTTTTTTTTTGAAGTATATGGAATTTTTGTAGAACATCTCCGGGAACCTTCGCTACGGACTTACTTGAAAATACATCTCCAGGTCGGAAAATTGAAGTAGATGTAAGACGTCGTGTAGAACTAGAAGGCCCTGAATTGGAAGAGTATCTACGAACTCAGGGAGAAAAGGTAAATCGGTTAATTATAAAACAAGATGAACAACAAGAAAGTAGCTCGGATTCAGATGATGATATAGAAATGAGTGTTATAACTGGAAAACATGATATGGTTATTCGTCCTGAAAGCCGACAGCATACAGGATTTTTTAAATCAAATAAACGTCATTATGCAATGTTTCCATTCCACGAAGATAAAATAAAATGTGATGAATATGGTGAAATCATAAATCTGGATGATTACCGTATAGCTGACAGTGGTTATGAAATTATTAACGATGAACAGAACAAAGAAAATTTGAAAAAAGAGGAAGTAAAGGACAAATATAAAACAAACAACGGTAGAGTATAACAAATGTTAGTTTTTTTAAATAAATTTAAGTTATAATATATGTAAAAACAGATATAGAACTGCTAGAAAAACCTACAAAGTGTATTAGTCAACGTAAAGTTATTCAAATAAATGCTCAAATTCAGCGAATAGACTTTGAGGGTCGGTCTGATGGTGAGTCTATGCTAAAAATTCTTTCACAGTTACGACCTAGACGGGTAATAATAGTGCATGGTTCCAGTGATGCAACTCAAGCGGTCGCCAAACATTGTCAACAAAATATCGGTGCACGAGTATTTGCTCCTCAAAAGGGTGAAGTAAGATTTCAAATTTTTATTATATTCAATTAAAGTACTTTCATGTTTACAGATTGTTGATGTTACAACGGAGACTCACATTTACCAAGTACGCTTAACAGAAGGATTGGTTTCCCAACTGCAGTTTCAAAAAGGAAAAGATGCCGAAGTTGCTTGGGTTGACGGGCGTATAGGCTTGCGGTCACAAGTTATCGATAGTGGAAGCAACGAATTGGCAATTGACCAAAACACCATATGTGAAGAAAAGATGTTTACATTGGAAACATTATCTACTGATGAAATTCCTGTTCACAATTCTGTTTTAATAAATGAATTGAAATTATCTGATTTTAAACAGGTATTGTTGCGCAACAATATAAATTCAGAATTTTCCGGTGGTACTTTATGGTGTAATAATGGAACAGTAGCCCTTCGTCGTGTTGACACTGGAAAAGTTACAATAGAAGGCTGTTTATCAGATGAATATTATAAAATTAGAGAACTTCTGTATGATCAATATGCAATTGTTTAATTGTTTTGTTTAATAAAATCTTTTTATAAAATATTTATTTTAAATGAAATCTAACATTGGATCTTCAGCACGGGTACGCTTGCGTTGCCACTCTTCTATTTCTTCTTCTGTAGGAGGTTTTATTTCATATAAACTGTTATATGGACGCTTCCGGTCATCTATTTCGTTAGAACATTTTGATACATTTGTAAGAATTGGTTTAATCTTATTAGTTGTTTTTCCATGCGTTTTTTTTAGTTTAATATTATTTTTTCTAGTAAGTTCTTCGAAAGATGATGGTGACGAAGGCTCTGATATATAACTATCAGTTTGGCAATCTTTTTTTGTTCCAGCCTCGAAGGAATATGTAATATTGTCACATAATGAATCAGTTTCTTTCATACCAATGCAGTATGAACCCTAAAATATATATATTTATTTTGTTATTAAATCAAAGTTTGTTGAAATATTTACTTTGATAAAAGATTTGCAGCATTTATAACCCCACCGGCCAACACTCCAATAACTGCCCCAAATCTTAGTGTGGTTATTATTATAAATATCCTCTGTATAAACACTTTTTGCCTTCGGTTTCTCCATGCCTTTAATAATTTTTCCACTGCGGGAGTACTCAACATATTCTTCTGTTTGCGCTAAAAGAAGAGATTTTGGTGGTGCGTTCAGATGCTCCTCACCTCCATATTTTTCGACAATATGATCTTTTGTCTACAACCATAAAAAATCCATAAAAAATTTTATTTTCAGCTATAAAACAAAGAACTATTCTTACACTTAATTTAAAATGCTCCTTTTTCTTCTCATATTCTTTCTGTAATAGCTCTAGTTTTGTAGGCTCTGCAAGTAAGTGCACGTCAACGCCTTTTCCATGTGCTTCCCAGGCAAAAAGCTGTGCAGATGTATGTTTTGTAGTATCACCAGTAAAACGTACGAAATTTTCTCCAGCAAATTCAGATCTAGACAAGAGTAGTATAGTATTGATTTAAAATATATTTAGCATGCTCACTCTTCAGCTGGCTTGCTAGGATTTGGATTGTCTCTCATCGATCTTGTTTTAGGGTCGTAATATGCAGAATTGGGATCTAAATTTCGCAAATATTTGGCAGTATCTTCTCTTATGCGTAAGTTTCTAACAGTAATTCGTTGTTTAGAGTCTACTTTTGTTCCAGGCATATCTACTTCATCGACATATTTATCTTCATTGTCATCGTCATCAGACAGCTCTGCATCCGGATCTTAATTTTATATGTTAAAACACGAATTATTAAATATAAAAATTCCTTACAACTAATATTTGATTACTGTTTTTATATTACATACTCATTTTTAACTTTTCTGCTTTGAGTTGCCGTTTAGCTTCTTCGACCTTTTCATATTCCTCAATAATTTCGCGATGATTCGCTGGATCATAAGATATCCAACGATCACGTTTCTCATCATAATTGGCAGCATTATCATGAACCAAATATTCATCATGGACCAAAATTGAATCGGCATATTTTGCTTGTATTTTACGGGGTCGCTCAAGACAATCTTTTTTCTTATGTGTCACAGCACCACAGTTTTCACAAGCCCCTTTGCGATATTTTGTAACAAGTTTTGAAACATTTATACCTTTGGGATATTGCTTTTCTAATTCTCCTTGTAAATCTTGTTTTTGTGGACGCTGATGTTTTAAGGTGGGGCCTTGAGCTCCATAATACCAAGGAGCATTTGATATATATTGTGGAATATGTGGATTTATATCCCGTCCTTCTTCATCAACCGCTGCAGGTGCTGTACCAGCCTTTCGCGCTTCTTCCAACTCTTTAGCTTTTTTCCAATCTTCACGAGACTTTTTTTTGGGCTCATCTTTATCTGTAGCATCCTTACTGTGAATTATTTGTGAGACAGGTGTCCTAATAACATTAGAACTCATTTTTAAAAATTAATTTTATTGTTTAATTTGCTTTAAAACTGTTTTTAATAAATAATATTTTTATTTAATGCGCAATTTTACAACGATTTCAAAGCGCATATTTAATCTGTCAAAAAATTCCTTTATATTGAAATGCATGTAAATACTCGATACCTTTTTACGTATTTTTATAATCAATACTTAAGAATATTAAATAGACGATCAAACATGCTCGCCAGTTTGATGCTCGCTTTGCTATATTGTTTATATTCTACAAAAGATTTTCATATGGGAAACACAACAATTAATATCAATCAAAAGTGTAGAACAATAAAACCAAAAGAATTATATATTAAGATTATATATCTGGATATTCGAATCAATATAAGGCCTTTTCTTTAGTAAGCATGTTGAAAAAGAACAAATAAATAAGCATTACCGCTGATGGCAACTCTGGACAAAATGGAAATTTTGTTAGGCTTATAAATGCAAAATACGTAATAAAATTTAAAGTTAAAATTTTGAAAATGAATAATAATTTTTTGTAATTATTGGTAGGATTTTTTTTACATGATTGTGAAAAATATATGAATTTTCATGCCTTTTAACTGTAAAATAATAAATAGAAAAAATAATGTATTTGTTACGAACAATGACGATAAGAAATTCGAAGAATTAACGAAATCATTCGTTGACAGTTAACTGGAATTTCGTATGTACGTCCAAAAGTCATTCACAATAGACAAATTTTTAATCATGACAACCAAAGAATACCTTACAAGAACGGCAACTTTTTTTTTTTTTTTTTTTTTTTTTTTTTTTTTTTTTTTCCATTAGAGGTGGAATCTGCTAAAGATGCTGTAAAAGCATGCCCGATTCATACTGTTCGCTACCACTCTTTCTCAAGTTTACGCAGGTACGATGCTCTTGCATATGCCAAACTTGCGACACAGTACGCCTACGGACTAAACCTTAACCCCTATACATAACACTGCCCTTTAGAAAACGTCCCGCGGGACCACCAGCTAGGTATTACTTCGCTAGGACAGGGCGAGCACTAACGCTCTATTTCTCAATTATCATTTACTCTCATTTGGTGTTGTCGTTCATCTCGTCGCAGTTGTTGCATGATTGCTGTAATTATATGATTAACTTGTTCCCAGGCATCTTTAGAGGACAACATGTATTGTACGACTCTATGACATGTAACATGGTTACCCATTAATCTTTCTAATGCTTCTCTAGCACGTGTAAAACGTATACAAGTTGTCAGTATGTGCTCAACGCTTTCTACCACTTTACCACAATGCAAACAAAAGGGGTCATCAGCATGTTTATATTTGAAGAAATATTCTCGGAAACAACCATGCCCTGTGAGAAACTGTGTAACATAGTAATTAGGTTCACCATATTTCCTTGAGGTCCAGGCAGCAATTGATGGAATAAGATTGTATGTCCATCTTCCTTTTGTTGATGTAATCCACCGTTGTTGCCACTGTACGTATATTTGACTTCGTACCTCATCTTTGTAATTTCGGCTAAGACACTCTTGTGATTTCAGATCTCTCAGAGCTGCAGCTTCTTTAGCCTGTAGGTCTATTGGTATTCGTCCAGCAATGACGTTTATAGCTACTTCGGAGACTGTACGAAACGCGCAGCATACCCTTAATGATGCTAATCTATGAGCTGACACCAAAGATCTTGTATATGATAAACGGAAGGCTGCGGGATACCATATTGGTGCGCCATACATCATTACTGAAGTCGACACTGATGCCAGTAGTCTTCGACCTGCATATCTTGGACCACCAATGTTTGGCATTAATCTTGCAACTGCTGCACCGATTCTAATTGCTTTGTCACCAGCAGACTTCAGATGTTCCTTGAAGTTAAGTCTTTGATCTATTTTGACACCCAGATAATTAATTACCGAGCTTGATTTGATAGAAAGCTCGCCAACATGTATATCAATAAATTCTATTCTTTTTCTACTACTTAGAAGAACTGCTTCGGTTTTGTGCTCTGATAATTCCAGGCCCATTGACTCAAGCCAGAGTTTGACCACTACGATGGTGCTATCACATTTCATTGCAAGTTCGTTGATGGTTTTTGCAACCGCTACAATTGCAATATCATCAGCGTAACCAATTAACTGCACTCCAGCTGGTTTTTCTACATTAAATACGCCATCATACATTACGTTCCAGAGAATGGGGCCTAAAACTGAGCCTTGTGGAACTCCTGCTGACACTAAATATGTCTTCACACCGTCGTTTGTGTCATACATTAGAATGCGGTCGTTGAAATAGCTTATGATCATTCTAAGTAGATATGCCGGTATTTCCAGTTTTGCTAGTGCTTCTATTGTTGCGTTCCAGTCCGCTGAATTGAAAGCATTTTTGATATCCAGCGTGATTATAGCACAGTATTCTTTGCTGCCGCCTCTCCATCTTTTTCCATCCAGCGCATTTTGGGCTATATTATGCACTTTTGCTATAGCATTTATAGTACTCTGGCCTTTCCTGAAACCATGTTGCCATATTGACAGGCCATTTGGTCCTTCCGTGTACTGTTCCAATCTGGTAGCAATAAGTTTTTCAAAAAGCTTTCCAGTAGTATCCAGCATGCACAACGGTCGGTAAGATGACGGCTCATGTAAGTGCTTCCCTTTTTTAGGGATAAGGACTAGTCGTTGTACTTTCCACGGTTTTGGAAACACGCCTTCTACTAGACACAATGAGAATACTTCCGCAAACAGTTCTGGCCTTCTATATACGATTTGTTTAAGCGCGCCATTTGGGATACCATCAACGCCAGGTGCTTTCGTATCCTTAATGATTTTTGCGGCTTCAAGAACTTCGCTTGGAGTAATTAAATTAACTTGGACGTCGTCATCGGTCAGTATGTGTGTTATCCCAGAGCCTTGTGGGAACAAGTTGCGAACGATATCTTCTAAGAAACGAAAATTAGTAGGAGCTGATGATGAAGTTCCCTTCATTATCTTTTTGACAGTTTGGTATGCTTTTCCCCAGGGATTAGTTGACAGTTCATCTAGCAAGGTGTTGTACAGCCGCTTTTTGCTTTGTAAAATAGAATTACGGAGCTCTTTCCGCTTTTCCTTATAATGCCAGTTAAGTTGCTCAAAATTGTTATGCCCTCTTGCTCGTTGTTGAACTCTGCGTAATTTGTGACATTCTGTCCGCAGGTTTCCAATTTCTTCATTCCACCAAGGTGCAGGTCTATGATGCTTTCTTTCATTTCTTCGAGGCATTGATGCATCACAGATGTTTTTAAGTGATTGCATTAGGCTTGCAGCCTTACTATTCGCGGAACTGCCAGTTAGAATTATTTCATCAGCAAGAAGGTCAACCATTGCTTTATCTAATTTACTAGTATTCCATTTAATTGCTTGTGCTTTCCTTGTAAATTCATGTTTTCGACTTATACGGTCTTGTGTTATTTCAAATATAATCAATTTATGATCACGGCAACTCCATTGTGAACTAAAATTTGTTTTTTCGCACAACAACAATTTGCCGTAGAGCTCTTGAAAGTGTTAGTGAAAAGTGCACTAACACCAGCTGAAATCACTGAAATTTTTCACCTTTTCACCTTTTTCCGATGCTTCGAGTACTTTTGAGAACAGAATATTTCAAAAAGTTTACCATGAAGAGTGTAAGAAAGAGTGTGGTTTTGTTTTTTGGTTTTGATTTTTTGAGAGTAATATAAAATTTCGTTGCGCCAAATTATACAAAATTTACTGCGCAAATATTTAACAAAAAGTAGTTAAAATTTTGCAAACACTTTAATAGCAGTTACCAAAAAGTAGGTATGCATACCAAGTGTGGAAAATGCATACCAAATCTTGAACTTTGGTCGAATAAACTACATAGCTAAATAAACTAAATGTAGAAATAGGAAAATACAAGGGATGTAAAAAATTTGTTATAGTTCTTTTTTTAAATTTTCACACAATAATGATGAAAGAAAATTAATTTTCATTTAATTTCTATGCATATTTCTAATAAAACAGTTTAACGAAAGTATTTTACTATTTATTTTAAAATATTAGTAAGTGTGCATTTTATGTTCACATTGAGATTAAAATATTTAAAACATAAACATAAGGCGCTACATGTTAATGATCATATCATGAACCCTAATCAATTTATGTTTTTAAGATCATTTAAATTCTGAAGAAAATATTCATATATTCTATACATAAACAACACAAAAAAAAATAAATATGTTTTTAATTTTTATATTATGTAAATATTTATAATATTCATTAAACAGATGAACTAAAAATGTATAGCATATATCTCGTTTAAATCTTGCATTAATTCTGGTAAATAATCAAGTCTATTTCATTTCATAACAATAATAAATTATGTAAACAACTTGTACTTCTTTTAATTAAACTTAGCTAATGTTTTTAAATACTTTAGTATTTATATATAAATATATTTTATAATCATAATATAAAATTAAAATTTGTCAATATTAAAATTTAAAAATTGTTAAATTTTATATAAAAATATATCTTCATAAGAAAAACTCATAAATCCGACAATGAATGCGCATGCACCCACTCTTATCAATAGATTTTTCGCTACTGATCACACAGTAATGTACGTAAATTAATAATAAGTATTATTCACCACATACATTTAGAGCGGATGCGCGCACATCCTCCCTTTTCAACAGATTTATTGTTACTAATCAATTAGAAATGCATGCAAGGCAATAATACGTACCACACATTTAAAAGGAATGCGCGCACACCCTCCCTCATCAACATATTTTTTGGCACTAAATTTAAAAATTAAGTCTTCGCAGAGAAACACAATTTATCATGGATCACTTAAGTGCTGCCGTATAAAAAAGTGAATTGGTAGTAGCTTCAATCTTTGTTATTAATTTCACATCAAAACGGTATTTAATGCTATTATATCAAAATTGTTTTTGAAATAATGTTTTACACGCTCAAAAAATATATAAGAAAATATAACTCACTAAATAAGAAATATTCAAAACTGTTTTTATTTAATTAAAAAATTTGCACCTACAAAAGTTTGTTGCCGAACGTAATAAATTAAAATACTATAAAATTCATATGAAAATAGCAACAAAAATTAATTTACTGAATAT